CCACTTTTTTAAAATCACACCAACCTTTCCCTTGGGGTTTAATTTCTCATTAACATACCTCAAACATACTTGAAGTATGTTTTAATTTTTGGAATAAATTTTTAGAGTGGTTGTAGGTTTAGAGAAAAAATTAACAGCAGGTTCTTGTATTCTCCCTCTTGCCACCTCCTTCAATTTCTCTCATTATTAGCATCTTGCATTAGTGTGATACATTTGTGACAATTAATAAACTGATATTTATGCATTATTATTATTAACTAAAGTTCATAGTTTACATGAAGTTTCACTCTGTGTTGTAAGATCCATGCATAATGGCAGGTATCTGCCATTAGAGTATCATACAGAACAATTTCACTACCGTAAAAATCCCCTGGGCCCCATATGTTCAACCTCTACTCCCTTCTGACTATCTTCTGGAAACTACTGATCTTTCTACTGTCTCTCTAGATTATCTCTTCCAGAACGTGAAGTAAGTAGAAGCGTACACTATGTAACTTTTTTCAGATTGGCTTCTTTCACGTAGTAGCATGCATTTAAATTTCCCCCATATCTTTTCATAGCTTGGTAGCTCATTATTTTCTGTTGCTAACACTTCATTTTATACTGTAATTTGTCTAACGTTAAATTAAAATTGTAGCTGGGCCCTGTGGCTCATTCCTGTAATCCCGACACTTTGGGAGGCCAAGGCAGGCAGATGGCTTGAGCCCAGGAATTTGAGATCAGTCTGGGCAACATAATGATATCCCTCTCAAAAAACTTTAAAAAAAAAATAGCCAGGTGTGGTGGCTCATGCCTGTAGTGTCAGCTACTTGGGAAGCTGAAGTGAGAGAATCACCTGAGCCCAGGAAGTTGAGCCTGCAGTGAGCCATGATCACACCACTGCACTACAACCTAGAAAAGAGAGTGAGATGTCCTCTCAAAAAAAAATCTTTTTTTAAGAAAAGTTGTTCTAACACTTATTACAAAGATAAGGAAGATTTTCTTCCAGTCTTTTCCAGTCATCCATGATGACTCCATAGGGAAGGGTAATTCAAGTTCATATTCAACAAGGGTAAGTGAGGTTTTATAGCCAATGAACAGAGTGAGGGGATCAGTGGGTGGAAAATTAGAAGGAGGGGACAGCAAGGATATGGGGGGGGGTTCTTGCTAAACTAGCCTAACAGATTCTTGCTAAAGTCAGGCCAAACATGTATACATCAAAGACGGCAGAGGAAGAACTTGATCAGACATCAAGAATGATCAGGGCCGGGCGCGGTGGCTCAAGCCTGTAATCCCAGCACTTTGGGAGGCCGAGGCGGGTGGATCATGAGGTCGAGAGATCGAGACCATCCTGGTCAACATGGTGAAACCCCGTCTCTACTAAAAATACAAAAAAATCAGCTGGGCATGGTGGCACGTTCCTGTAATCCCAGCTACTCAGGAGGCTGAGGCAGGAGAATTGCCTGAACCCAGGAGGCGGAGGTTGCCGTGAGCCGAGATCGCGCCATTGCACTCCAGCCTGGGTAACAAGAGCGAAACTCCGTCTAAAAAAAAAAAAAAAAAAAAAAAAAAAAAAGAATGATCAAATATCAATAGTAAAGGGATGATTTAGCAGGATTCTTGCAAAAGCTGGGAACCAGAGATGAGACGTGAAAAGCTAAGATCAAGGACCAGTTGAGAGGGATGCCCAGGGGAACCTTTCCAAAGTTAGTCAAGGAGAGAGTCTTTATCATCATCCATCTACATGTTGAAGAACATCTTTCTGGCTTCCATTATTTTGGCAACCATGAGTAAAGTTGCTACACAAATTTATGTGCAGATTTTGGTGTCCTTTATCCAGAAATATAAGCCAATCATAGGACACATCTTATTTCCGAGGTGGATCACTTTCCTCCACTGCCTGAGGTCCAGTCTTGAAAACAGTTGCTTCCGCCAGGCGCAGTGGCTCACACCTGTAATCCCAGCACTTGGAAGGCTGAGGGAGGCAGATCACCTGAGATCAGGAGTTCAAGAACAGCCTGACCAACATGGAGAAACCCTGTCTCTACTAAAAATACAAAATTAGCTGGGTGTGGTGGTGCATGCCTGAAATCCCAGCTACTTGGGAGGCTGAAGCAAGAGAATCGCTTGAACCCCGGAGGTGGAGGTTACAGTGATCCAAGATCAGGCCATTGCACTCCAGCCTGGGCAACAAAAGTGAAACTCCACCAGAAAGAGAAAAAGAAAGAGAAGGGAGGGAGGGAAGGAGGGAGGGAGGGAAGGAGGGAAGGAAAGAAGGAAAGGAAGGAAGGAAGGAAGGAAGGAAACATATGATTGCTTCATGTATCTCGTCTGTTTTTGTTTGGCTGGTTGTATTAGTTCTTTCTCACAAGAGTGGGTAATTTACAAAGAAATGAGATTTATTTAACTCATAGTTCCTGAGGGAGGCCTCAGGAAAGGTACAATTATGGCATAAGGCACCTCTTCAGGGTGGCAGGAGAGAGAATGAGTGTCAGCAAGGTAAGTGCCAGATGCTTTTAAAACCATCAGATCTTATGCGACTCACTATCACGAGAACAGCATGGGGAACAACGTCCCCATGATTTAATTACTTTCCACTAGGTCCCTCCCAGGACATGTGGGGATTATGGGGATTATCATCCAAGATGAGATTTGGGTGCAGACACAGAGCCCAACCATATCAGTCTCAGGACCCCGGTTTTTGGCTGTTTCAGATAACAGGGTACACTTGGCTCCTGTACCTCCATCTCGGTCACAGTCAAAAGTCCTAGTCAAATGTTAGAAAGCACAGTTTGCTAGGAGAAAACAATCATGAGCAATCTTCTGACTTCCCCAAAATCATATGGGTGATTGTTACTTGCTATGCAGTAAAGGCAGCCTGGGTAAGGAACAACACTGTCTCAAGTGGCCCACCAGCATTCCAGCCCTTAGAGTAGGACAGAAACAGAAATCTTATGTGAGAACTAGGATTGATGATTAATAAGACATGATGAGTGAACCTTTCTTTAATTGCTAGTACCCAGACCTAGATCAACATTTCTGAAAATTAAGAATGAGAATCCCTTGTGCTGCCAAAGGACAGATTATGAAGTCATTCCACCTAAGAGCTGATGCCAGGGCAATCTAAACTCCAATCTCCAGGGATATTTACACATTTAGGATGACCTGATACCGAAGAGGATACCCTATGAGTGAATAGTCACTGGCCTCAATCCTATACTTCAGCTGTCAAAGGGCAACACTTCTGCCCTTCATCTGCCTTTTTGAACAAGCTTCTACTTCTGTACTCGCATTTACACAAAAAGGGTGAAAACCAGATTTTCAAGTATCCAATGAACAATCTAGAAGATTATTATAACCATTATGTGTTCATAATAAAAAGCAAAATTAAATTAGAAGAGAAATTTGATTTGGGCAATATGAATGCCCATCTTGTATGTTCAAACTGATACAGTAGTTATTTTTTTGCTGGATTCATAGTCCATAGGGTTTCAGATGTCAAGAACACCAGCACATCGATGGTAAAAGCACAACTGGGTAGGAAGAGGCAGGTGGCACCAACGCCAGACAAGGTGGTGCAGTTTCCACGCTCCGAAACTTTCAGTGTCATGCAAAAACAATCAATTCTATGACGAATTTAGAAGATGGCAGTTAAAACAGGAGTAAGCATTTCATTCCTTAGAAAACCCAAGGCAGACATAATGGATTAATTAATACATACAGGTATAGCTGTTTGAAATTCTAGGTTTCTCTATAAGTGGTGTTTTGTAGATTACAAATATGCTTTTATAACATGTCATTAAAATGTGCAGTCTTCCCAGTAAAAGGCATTCACTAAATCTCCCTGTTTGTCAGGTTTAGAGGTCCTTATACAAATTGCATTTGCTTTATTGTAATTATTTGACACATCCAATTTCCATATATCTTGATTAAAGAGAATCTTTTTTTCCCCCCCTTTCTTATGTGAATTCTCATGCAGGTCTTAGAATTCATGAGCATGTCACTGAGATCAAAATATAGTTGGGAAAATGACTAGCTAGCAGCATGAGTCATAGTCTAATGTTTGATGGCTTACATCAAAGAGATCATATGCAGGAATTCAGAAACACCTCATATTTTTCTCATGTTGTGATGTCTTCTACCAGCACCTACTCACTTATTGAAGAAATTATTGCAGCTACTTGGTGTATAAGAAAAAAAATCAAAGTCATATTCTCTTTGCCCTGCTATTATATGTCAGTCTACACAAGTATTTCAGAGCTAGACTTAAAAAAAAAAATAAAATGCTGTTTGCTAACAGGAGTCTAGCTGTGAGTTTGTTTTGTAGGGCTTTGTTAAATCTATAGAACCACACAATCTGTCCTGTATATATAGCCTTTGATGTCTGTGTATCTCAGGCAGTATTCTTTCCTGGGTTGACTTGTAGCAATGGTGATTAAAAAAAGACACAATATGTTGTTAAAAGGAACATAGCCCATTCAGGATTTATGCACCGACAACATTTCAGCAACATGTGATACAGTCAAAAATGTTAAAATAGCCTTTCCATTTCACAAGGAAAGCAAGGATATTAGATTGATTCTGTTTCCATAACAGTACATCTTGATGCTATGGTTTTATTCCAGCTCGGCCATTTGTTATTTTTTTCTCTCTCATTCTCCTCCCCAAGGATGGGGTAGGGGACGGGTGAGGGGGCCAAAAGAGGGGTGGAAGCAAACATATTGGGTTTGAGACACTGGAAGTTTGGATCAGAGTATCAAATTAGATCAAATATAAGGAGGCTGGGATGTTAGAACTTGCCAACTTGCTAATCAAGCCTTCTTTCAAGGGTTAGTTCCAATAACGTACAGCACTCTGAAATCTAAACAGGGAGATCCTAAAGAAGTCATCAGCAAGGTCTGAATGAACTGATGATGGGGTTTCACTGGTTCTCTGCTGCGATGGCATTTTGCTATTTATCATTGTCCTCCCACCCCAAGCAGGCACAGGGGGAAAAAAAAAAAGCCCAGAGCTGTACTCACCAGCCTTGATGTGGACATCCTGACTTCTAATTTTCCCTGAAGGATTTTCAGCTGTGCAATAATAAGTATTATCATGGATTAAGGTACTGAAGCTTGAAGGAGGGAAGGGGAAAATTTGGAGAGTGCCGTTGGGGTGGACGTGGCGGATCCCGGGAACATCGTAGATCTCCTCGCCCGTGGCTAGGTACCATCTGAGAGTCACAGGAGGGATGCCTGCTGCGGGGCAGGGCACCAGGGTCCCCGTGGTGCTGGCAAACACTACCTCTTGCAGAGATGCATTGACAAAGTAGAGGCTGGAGTGTAGGTCTTCACTGAAAACTGCAAGAAGACAACGAAGGGGTCCACTGGTGAGTAAAACATGTCTTTGACATGTGCAGTTCAATCAGTCTGGCCTCAGAATGTTATCTTGAAAATTAATCATGAGGCTCAGGCTCAAATAAAACCAAACAATTCAAATTTTCTCTAACTGCTATGAGCAGAGAGGCTGATACTGAAATCTAAGGTGCCATCCTAATCTCACATTTTGTACACAGACTGTTAAGTTATCCTGGCTGCTAATTTTTAACAGATTCGTTTTTTGCCTCGTGCCTCAAGCCCTGTTCTATCCCCATACTGACCACTACTGGACCGCATATTACATATTTTTATGCACTTATTGTCTATCTTCTGTCACTAGAGATAAGCCTCATGAGGAGGAGGTCTTGATTTACTCCCATTATTACTTGGAGCATAGAGCCCAGCTGTCAATGGGTTCTCCATAAAGGGGAGCTGAATGTGTGAATGCCTAGATCCTGCTGCTTGGATCAAATTGCTCTCATTAGTAGGTACACTCAGGATTATTATTGAATACAATCAACCACACTTTTAATTAAAATTTAAAATCACATGTAAAGCATTTTAAAAAGCACCACTGGTTGCCAGAAAATAGAATGCCAAATCAACAATGCCCTTTTTTATTGAAAATATGATGAAACAATAAAGAGAATTTTGACAAAAGCATGACTCAAGTCCACCAGCACACAGTGTGTTTTGATTTTTACATTTCCTTCTGGTCCACCTGCCTCCATGCCTTAGCTATATAATTATATTGTGCTAAAGTGTGCATATATGAAATGTACCATTTTTATAACTGTTACATTCTCTCATACATCATCTACATAATTCCATTGTTCTATACCGACTGATAAGTAAATGTCAGTGAATGCACAATTTATACATATTCTTATGAACTCTTTTCCTGCTCTTCTCATTTAAATTGTTTCTCTTTTACTTCTACAAATAAATATCAGCAAATGTGTTGATACACATTGGGCTTTTTAATTCATTTAAGGGCCTTTAACAAGTGTTTATGGAATGTTAGTTATGTGAAAAAATAAAAACATCCAGAAAAAATAAAACTTAACTTGTTTATAAGTTAAACAAAAGATTTATAAATATAATGAAATCATACTTGTCATACATCTGAGCTTCTCTGTGACTTTTTTTTTTAAGCAGACAGCTTCATAGTACTCTGTACCAGACAATCTTATAATATTTGCAATCGACAACAGCTCTGCTAGGTAAATAACGGCTCCACTTTGCAGACGATGACATGGAGATTCACAAGGCTGTCACTGGACCAAGGACTCAGGGCTAGGAAGTGGCAGAACCAGATTCAGTCTTTCTGATGAAGGTTTTGGTGATTTGTGTTTTCTCATCTTAGAACGAAATATGGCATAACAGTCTCCCTCATTTGGGTGGGGATTTGAGGCAGCTCTCTACAGAGTGGGTCTGTGGCCTGTGCTTCCTGATCTAGTCCTTCTCCATGGTGTGGGGCTGAAGGGTTACAGGCTCCTGCCACATGCTGGGGTTGCTACTAAGCCTGTGTGATAAAATACATGTGTCCCTCGCTTTGCCTATAGTTAATTGGCATGATTTGGTAAGAAAAAGATGAAGAAATTAACATTATTTACAAAGACGATCAGATTCATAATAAGATTTAAGCTGCTCACTAAATGTGAGGGTAGCGGGTGGTTCCCTCTTTGTAAATAATGTTAATTTCGTCATCTTTCTGTTTACGAGTTCCCAAAAACATAACGGCCTGAGAGTCTTCGTTGTGTCATTGCCTTATTCAATGTAATAATTATTGCTTATAATTATTTGAGGAAACACAGCATCCAAGCACTGACACAAGGCTGAATAGATGCGGTTGACTCTACTCACAGCAAGATGTAAGGCACGTTCTTCCCTGTTGCCACTTGAAGTGGACGCTGTGTGTCACTTTTTCAAGTTTCCTCTCTCAGGGCCAATGCGCCCCACCCCAAAGCAACTAGAAAGGTCCTCTGCTGAGTCCCACGCTGGGAACCAGCCCCAGTTACAGGGAACCGCCTTGTCTGAGGCCCGCAGGGAATGACTGGTCAAAGGTGGCTCCACAGGCCCCGCCCCCTCATGTTAAGTGGCAACAGTGCTGCAGGTGCATCCACCTGAGACCGCTATTGCTACAGCTCTGCAGAGAAGATTCTCCCTCCACTCATTCTGCCTTCCTCACATCCTTGCTGATGTGTCCTTTGAAAACACTCCCAGGAGGCCTTCGGCCTGTGATGCTTCCTCAGAACATCTCCTTTCAGGTAACTCAACACGGGACATGAACTGAGGCCTTGCTAGTTACTCTCCACAACCATGTGTTTCTAAATTTTTTTTTTCTGTTTTAAATAAAATGATCAGAAAGCACCAACTAACATTCCCATGTGAACTCCCCAATAGAGTATGAGCAATAAATAAAATACGTCAAGATGGAAGGAAGCACTAAGTCTGGATTATCATTGGATTCAAACACTTGTATAAGCAATAATTATTACACTGAATAAGGCAATGACACAAGAAAGACTCTCAGGCTGGTATGTTTTTGGGAGCTCATTGAATCTGGACAGTGACAATATGTAGTTTGTTTTATGAAAACATATTCATGCGAGAATCTAACATTTATCTACTATATAAACATTTTGATTTTTTAGCTAAACTTCACATATTCAATGAGCTAATATGCAGAAGCCTAATGCCTGGCATGCTGTGTTTTGTAAGTGATAGTTGGTGCATTCACTGCTCCTTGTTTTCATTTTTTCCTCTCATAATTAATGTGGTAGGTCAAACTTCCATTGATAATTTAATATAAACTTTTGAAGTATTTTTGGAATTTCTATTTTACAAAATTATGTCTCTTTTAAGCAGATTGGTAGATCGGAGTTACCTCTCACAGTTTAGGAACTGACTGTATTGAAGCTGAGACAGAGAGAGAGAGAAGGTGAGGGGTACAGACGAGAGCCTTCAGCAGAGATCCTGATGTAGAGAGATGCTTACACAGCATAGCCCCCTTCCACTATCAACAGGAAAGCCTACATACTGATGAGAATTCTCCTCCCCTGTGAGAGCCATACCGTGTAGAGGTCCTCAGAGTAGAGGGGCCCCTGAAAAGACCCTCTTTCTCCTTGATCAGGGGAAGCATCAAAAGCTATTGTCAATCTTTGTGTCTCAAGAAGTGTCTTGTTCAACAATGCTTGAAGTAACAATGTGGACAATCTCACATTTGAAGACCTGCACCTCCTTGGGGATGTGGCAGATGGCATCTACCTGACAGGTCCACCACTGGGGTGAGATCTGAGGGTCACTCTGGCTGTTAGGCCATATATGGCACCAATGAAAACTCTTGCTTTTCACTGGTGTCATATAGGATGGAAATGTTATCAGTGCCAAATGCTTCAATTGTAGTAAAATTTATCAGTGTAAATACAGTGGCCAATGACACAGAATCCTGCAGGGCATTGAGACTGTGTGTTGAGTCACAGTTACATTAGGACACTTGCCCTCATGTGCCTATATGGAATGCAGACTTCTATTTAGTAAAACTGAGATGGTTAATCCCTAACCTCACTAAAAAGAGAGGAGAGGGACTGCTCTCTTTTTGCACGAATATACCTCACACTGCACGTTGCGCAACTTTATTTTTTAACTAAGTTTAGTAAATATATCAATAAGTATGTTGGTGTGAGGACGAGGTGCGGCATGTGTAATGAGATTCCTGGTTTATCGGAGCCTAGAAAGAAAACTTCGTTAGGAAGCACTGTTGGAAACTTCTGAGGATGGTATATGGTGGTCAAGAATTGGTATGGTGGAATGAGCTCATACATTTTGGCACTGTCTTGTTAAGCAACTAAATGTTCACGTAACCAGTCATTTGAACACTGAGCACCAGTGTTAGATTGTCCCAATGAAGAAAGAAGTAAGGGGAGGCAGAGGTGACATTAATCTAATAACTAGATGATCTAATAACTAGGCCTGGGGCACCCTCCATCGCTTGCTCCTCAAGCTGTCTCAGGATCTGTCCCAAGCATTGTGATAAAGTATTCCTCAGCTGCCACAGCCATGGCTCAAGTGGTCCCAGGTCTAGCTTAAGCTTCTGCTCTGGAAGTCGTGAACTTTGGTGGCATCCATGTTAATTCTGCAGGTGCACAGAATGCACAGCTGTGGGGCATAGTGTCCTCCACCTAAACTTCAAAGACCTTCGAGAAAGCCCAGGGCCCTGGACAGAGATTTTGTTTTAGAGGTGGAGCCGGTACAAACAGTCCTGATTAGGGTGGTGCTGAGCAGAACGAATGCACCAGAGCTCCTGCAGAGGCTGTCCACTGGAGTAATGCCTAGTGGTGCCATGGAAGTGGGGCTGACCCTAAGACCCCAGAACTGGAGAGCTATCAGCATATAACATCAGCCTGGGAGAGCTGCAGGCACAAGACTCCAACCCATGAGGGCTGCTGGGGGAACTGAGCCCAAGAGCCCAACAAAGCCATCAAGGCAGTTTTTCCTGAGGCCACGGGGACCCAATCCCCACCCCAGTGTGCTCTGGGTGAGGGATGTGGAATTAAAGGAGATTATTATCCAGCTTTAAACTTTAGATTGTTTTCTCTGTTGGGATTAGATTTACTTGGAGCTTGTTACTTCTTTCTTCCTGCCTCCTCCTTTTTGGAATGGGAATGCCCAACCTGTGCCTGTCTCACCACTGAGTTTTGGAAATAGATAACTTGCTTTGATTCATAGCTCATGGCTGGATGGGATCTGCCTCTGGATGAATCATGCCTGACTCTCACTTATATCTGATTCAGATGAGACTTTGGACTTTTAAATTGATGCTGGAATTAGTTATGACTTTGGGGGTACTGGGATGAAATAAATTCATTTTGTATGTTAGAAGTTTTGGAAGGCCAGGACAGAATACCATGATTTGAATGTTCGCACCAAAACTCATGTTGAAATTTAATTGCCAAGGTAATGATATTGGGAGGCAGGACCTTTAAAAGGTGACTCATAAGAGGCAGAGCCCTTATACATGTATTAACGCTATTGTCACAGGAGTGAGCTCCTCATAAAATAATAAATACACTCTCCCCCGATTTTCCTTCTGTCTTGAGCACTTGCTTCTGTCTTCCATCCTTCCACCTCAGATGACCCTCACCTGATGGCCTTGGACTTCTCAGCCTCCAGAGCCAATAGTCAACTAAATTTCTGTTGTTTATAATCTACCCAGTCTGTGTATTCTGTTCTAGTAGCAGAAAATGAACGAAGACAGTAATTTATAAAAGTTTCCTTGATTACACTCATACATAATAGGTGAGGCCTTTTCACATCACTATATTAGTTTTGTTACATGAGACATGTCTACGGGAAGCTATGTCCATGAGATTTAGCATCCTCCGGGTATCTTACTTGAAATATTCATCTTTTTTCTCTTGGTCTCCATCACTGGCAGAAACAGAGTTTGCCCTCCAGGGCCAGCAGGGGCTATGTGGCTAAGCTGGGAAGCATAGCGAACACCATTTGTCAAAAGGTGGCAGAGAAAATACATTTTGTATAAGTGATGGATCTTACCCACAGAGAAGAGAGGCAGGGGTGTTCATCAAGTCATAAGTGTTTTATAGTTTTCTCTCCCAACCATAACTAAAGTCTTTAGCAATGCTTCATAAGTCAGAATATGAAAATTATTGCTAACTAAGAAATCAGTTCAGATCAGAAGCACAGTTAATAGTTCAACACGGCAGTTTTCAACTCAAATAAAAATGCTGATAGTAGCACTGTGATTTTACATTTGAGCTTTCTAAGAAACTGACATTACCCCAAACATATTGTTAGGAATGAGGTAACTGTCACTCTTCAGGGCTAATTAATTCCACCAGGATTCTTTTTTCCGCTACATTATTCTTCTATCAACCCGAGTGTGGGTAATTTGAACTAAGCAAAATTTGGTCATATTTGAATTTATCCTCTTGTATCCTAAAAGTAGTCTTGTTAAGAATAGCAAGTCTTTAAAAATGTAAATGTATACAAGAAACATTGCTTAATTAAATGTATAGTTTCTTATTGAAAACCACATTCCACAAGCCAGCTTGTGAAATTATTTAAATGACTGCAGGAAAAAAATGATAAATAAATGTTTAATCCTAGTAGTTAAAGAGATAAGTAACCTACGGGGGATTACTGTCACTTCTCCTTATATTTTTAAAGCATTTTACATTAGTCTTTCTCCTTCACGCCACTGGGTTTAATAATATAACATAAACTCATTCTCTAAGAGACACATCATATGGCCACAGGCAGAAGAAAACCCAAACTATATTCCAACAGCTTTTGTTTCTTCCAGCTAAGGGACCATCCATCTGCCTAAATAATAGCACTTCTTTTTATAGAGTGCCTCCTGCTCTTTAATACAGTAACATTTGCTCCCTCCAGTAAGGGCTGAGGCAGCCTTAATGTGAGGTAGGGGTGTAGGGGTGTGTGTGTGTGTGTGTGTGTGTGTGCACGCGCGCGCGCACGCACGCACGTGTGAAAGTTTCTAAAAAATAATTGTAGGTTCGTAACAGAAAGCTAAATAAAACATTCAGCACAATCTTGTGAAATTCAGGGCTTAAAATCCTGGGGTACCAACACTAAGGGAGCTAATGGCAGGGGCCTTGGAGAATGGTTTCCTCAGTTGCAGACTTCTCAATATTTTATATTGCTGTAACAGATGGTGTAGCCAAGACTCCAGTGACAAACATAAAGAAGAATCTTACACCAGAAAGAAAATAAGTCAATATTTTAGCTTTTCTTAAAATTCAAACAGGGCAGGGTGAAAAGAAGAGATGTGGGAGGAATTTTGCAGTAGGCAGTGACACAAGCATTCACCGATGCAATAATGTTTATTGAGCACCTACTAGGTACCAGGTCTTGTGTAAGGGCACAGTAATGCAAGGTAGAACAAGTCCTAGTATATTATCGTCAAGGACATTTTAGTCTGGAAGGTACTATTGTTCATGTAGAGAGGTCAGTTTTAACCCTATTTGCTGAGTGTTGTGACAGAAACATTCACAAAATGCTACAGGAGCATAAGTGAAAGAGAAAGTAACCTGAACTAGGAAAAATGCAAACAAGTTTCCAGAGGAGGAAAGAAAAGTGCATTCTAGGCAGAAGTCTTAAAAAATATTAGGACATTGAGCTGTCCCAGTCAGGAGAGAAATCAAAAGGTACTGGGAAGCAGGAAATTCAGTGCACAGCTAAAAGTATTGTATGATTTTGAGAGAGAACTACAGATTTCTCAGATTCATTTATCCTGGAAACACCTCTTCAGCAACTACCACGTACCTGGCACTGTGCCACGACCAGCAGCCAAACTAATAACCCAGTCTTGGAAGGGCACTGACCAGTAGGAGGTTACACTCCAGGTGCTGATTATAAAGTCAAGATTGTAAAGAGTGTCAGATGCCAAGCTAAGAAGCAGGTGCTTAACCCTGCAGAAAGTAAGGAGTTCTTCTTTTAGGCACACACCCAAGAGAAATAAAAACATGTCCACACAAAACTGTGTACAAGTGTTTAAAGCAGTTTAAAGCAGCATTATGTATAACAGCCAATGGTAGAAATAGCCTATGTGTCTATCACATGAAGAACAGGTAAACAAAATGTGGCTTAGCCTTACAATGGGATATCACTCTGCAATAAAATGGAATGAAGCACTAGCACACGCTGCAGGGGGGATGACCCTCGATTACACCCACAAAAGGCCACATACTGTATGACTCCATTCACATGAACTGTCCAGAAGAGGGACATCTGTGGAGACAGAAAGTCAACCAGTGGTTTACTTATGGTTAGGATAGAGGCAAGGGGGCAGGATAAGAGGGTGATAGCTCAAGGATACAGGGTTTCTTTTAAAGTGATGAAAAGCTGCTAAAGTGGACTGTGGTGGAGGCACCTTATCTATGAATACACTAAAAAACCATTAGACGGTATACTTTAAGTGGGTTCTTTTATGGTATATAAATTATATTTTAATAAAGTTGTTTTAAAAAGTAGGGAGTCATTGAAAGTTTTGACAGAGAACATGAATTTCCCAGATCGAAGTTTGAGAAAGTAATCACTAACTAGCAGGGGGAGAAGACTGTAGGTAGAAAGCCCGGCTGGACTGCTCTGCTGGGGGTCTCGGCCAGCTGGGCATTGGTGATGTGAAGGGAGAAGAAAGGCCCAATTATGGATATGTCTGATATGATCCTACCCACACTGGTGGGCAAGGATGTGGGGGTAATAAGAATGAAGAAAATAAAAAGTCAACATGAGGTGAATTCAATTGCTTGCATGACCAATTGCATAGTTATACTATTACAAAGGGAGCCTACAAGACAGAGCTGGTTGGTAAAAGAAACAACATGCCAGTTTCACTAAGGTAAACAGGGCACTGCCCTTGGGCCACCCAGTAGCAAATTGGAAATAGGAGTTCAAGACCCTAGAGGCAGATTTGGCAGCCAGGGAAATAGAACCTTTCACTGGGCGAGATATTCCAAGGAAAGTGTTGTATTAATTTGTTTTCATGCTGCTAATAAAGACATATCCAAGACTGGCCAATTTAAGAGAGAAAGAGATTTAATTGAACTGACAGTTCCACATGGCTGGGGAAGCCTCACAATCCTGGCAGAAGGCAAAGAGGAGCAAGTCACGTCTTACATGGCTGGCAGGAGGCAAAGATAGAGAACTTGTGCAAGAAGACTTCCCCTTAATAACCATCAGATCTCATGAGACTCACTACCATGATAATGGCACCAGAATGACCTGTCCTCATGATTCAATTATTTCCCACGGGGTTCCTCCCACAACATGTGGGAATTCAAGATGAGATCCGGATGGGGACACAGCCAAACCATATCAGGTGTAAAGAACAAGAAGAGACAAAAACCAGAAGTAAATCCTTAGGGATAGGTAGCATTTTATAAGGCAGGAAAATAATATTTGACAAAAAATTTGTACCCCAAATACATGGTGAACTTCAAAAGACCAATATAAAAATATAGTCCAACAAAAATGGACAAAAGCACTGGGTGCAGTAGCTCACGCCTATAATCTCAGCACTTTTGGAGGCCGAGGTGGGTGGACTGCTTGAGCCCAGGAGTTCAAGACCAGCCTGAGCAACATAGCAAGGCCTCTCTCTACAAAGAGTTAGCTGGGCATGGTGGCATGCTCCTGTAGTCCCAGCTACTCAGGAAGCAGGGGTGGGAGGATTGGTTGAGCCCAGGAAGCAGAAGATGCAGTGCACCAAGTTTACATCATTGCAATCCATATTGAGCAGCACTGTGAAACCTTGTCCCTCCCCCACCACAAAAAAGACAAAAGATGTGAACAGTCACTTCACAAAGGCCAATATATAAATAGCCAATTGGTACAGAAAAAAGTGCTTCAATGCCATTTTTCATCAAGAAAGGGTATATTAAAAGTGTAATGAGGTACTAGTACACATTCACCAGAATAACTACAATGGAAAAGAAAGAATATATTGAGGGTCTTATGAATGTGGAGCCACAAGACCCTCAAACATTGCAGGTAGGAACGTAAATCAGTAAAGTTATAGTGGAAAGTTACCGCTACCTATTAAAGCTGAACACATGCATGTACTGTGACTCAACAATTTCACTCGTAAGTATTTATACAACAAAACCACAGGCGTATGTTCACCAGAAAAAAATACATGCTGGAATATCTACAGCAGCAACTAGCCATACGAGTCACAAACAGAAAACTTCCCAATATCAACCAATAATAAAATTGATATAGTGTGATATATTTGCACCTTGCATTACTACATGTCAATAACAATGAATAACCTGCACATAAAATATCATAACTCACACAACTATAATGGTGAAAAAAAGCAAAAAGACACCAAAGGAATTTACACTGTATTGTTCCATTTATATCAAACGTCAAAATAGGAAAAACTAATCTATGATGTTGAGAGTGAGAATAAAGTTTGCCCACAGGGGTGGGGTCAGCTGTAGAGAATGGAAAGGGACATGAGGTGGCATCCAGGGTGCAAGCTATGTTCTTTTTCTCGATCTGGGTGCTGGGCACACTGCATGTGTACATAGTGATTTGCGTGTATTTGACATTCCAATTAAAAAATTAAAAGAGTTTAAAGAAACTGGAAAAGAATCATGAAGGAGATAAATAGGAAATATGAAATGAGTAGCTCAAACCCTAGGGTGTATTGTCTTAGAAACAAAAAGATGTTTTGGAAAGTTAACCAACAGTTTTCAACAGTGTCAATTGCTTCAGAGAGGTCAGAAAACATGAGAACTAAAACAGGTTATCAAATTTGCAAACTAGGTACATTCATTTTAAATGGAAACACCATTTGGGTTCAAATTAGCCTTTATTGATTTCACGGGAATATGTGAGTGTGTATGCTTACTAAAATGAACTGCTTGTGTAAAGGTCTTCCAAAATGAAAGGGAATATAACTCAGCCTTAGGTAAACGTATCTACAAAGCATAATATTTTGCTGATTCTGAGACTACAAAATGTTTTTATAGTTGAATAAATACTTAGAAATTCAGTGTCATCTGGATCAGACAATCACAAATTAGTTGGCTCATAATGACTTGGAAAGCATTCCAAGCTTCTTTGAAGTGATTCCAAGTCAGGTTATAAAAATGTGCTCATATGTTATAGAAATTGTGCCTTTAACTTTAATACATTTCAGTCATTCTGTCTTCTCCCAAGCACTGAAATGATGTGCAACTGTCATCACTTAGAAATAGGAAATTCTGTCTCTGTCCATCATAAAACAGCAAACAAACAAAAACACAGAAACGAGGACTGAATTTATCCTATGTCTTAACTAAACCTCCAGGCAGTACACAACAACAAAAACCATGAAAGAAGGAAACAAAGTGGGCCATATGAGCGCTTCAGCTTACTTCCTGGGTTTCTAAGATAATTCCAAAAGGAGGAAATTTAAATAAAACTTGGTGGAATTGTAGAATTAGGGAGACCAAGTGTGACACTTGAGGGGATGAAAGCTGCTAGAATTTACAAAGCAGAGAGAAGGAAGTTATATAGAAAGAGAGCTCCAGAGAGCTGAAGAAGCTTCCCTTTGATGAATCCTTAACTGTGTGCTGGCATTTACATGTGTGTAAGAAAACTACCAAGGTTGGATAAGGAACCCCAGAAAGAATCAGGTGAAAATCGGTGAACCTCCCACGGGAAAAAATAGGTCATGTTTCAACTAGAAAAAAGAGGTAAGAACTTCTAATAAATGGAACATCAGATTGAGTACTCAAAAGCGTATCACACAGCTGCAGGGGCCAAATTAGTTATAACAAAATTTAAAAGTGATCCTAGAAGGGAACAAACTGAGTTCAAGTAATTTAACTGCACACCAAAAAACTTTGATAATAATTAATAGAGAACAACAAACTCTATCAATAATATAAAATTTACAATGTCTGGCATTCAGTAGAAAATTGGACACAATAGGGCAAATATGGCCTAGTATTAGGAGTAAACTATTTCATAGACACAGAAATGAGAGATGATAGAATTTGTGGCATATTAACATAGCTCTTATAAATATTCTGCAATATGTGTAAGACAGTAGGAAAAAGGAAGAGCTCACTGATGAGAGAAATGGAGAAAATACAAAGAGCCAAGTGAGGAATAAAACAGTCAAATGGAATTTCTAGAGCTGCAAAATGTAATATATGCAATGAAAATTAGACAAATAGGGTTAACAGCAGATTATACTCTTCAGAAGAAACTGTCAATGAACCAGAAAACAGAGCAATTAAAACTACCCAACTTAAAAAACAAGTTTTAAAAAGGCTTAAAAACAATAAACACAAAACTTCTGAGATGTGGGTCAATACCAGTTGGCCTAATATATGTATAATTGGAGTTCTAGGAGGAAAATGAGACACAGAAAAAAAAAAAGTTGAACAGTTAGTATATAGATGTTTCAAATTTCAATGAGCACTAGAATCTCAAATATCCATCAAATTAAACATCAAACAGAAGAAGCATGTAGAAAACCATAACATGACACATGATTAAATTGCTCAAATCCAGTATAAAGAAAAAATCTTAAAGGCAGCGAGATTAAAAAAGTAAATACATGTTACATTTAGAGAAACAAAGATAAGAATGACAGCAGAATTCTCATCAGAAGCAATGCACAATAGAAGATGAGAGAGAAATTTGAAGCATTTTTTTAAAGAGAAAGGAAAGAAAAATCTGTAAACTTAAAGTTCTACATGCAGAAAAAATTTCATAAAGACAAAATTACTTTCTAGACATTCAAAAGCTGAGAATTCATTGTCAGTAGACTAGCAATACAAAAAAAAATGTTAAAGAAAGTCCTTCAGGAAGAAAAAAAAAATATCAGATGGAAATTTGTAACTTCGTAAAGAAATGAAGAGTGACAAATATGTTAAACATTTGGGTGAATATAAGATCATATTTTCTCACTTTAAAAAAATTTTCAAAAGATATATTACTGTTAAAGCAATAATAATGCATTGTGAGGTTTGTAACCTATAGATAAAATGAGTAACAATAGTAGCACAAAGGCAGGAGGGAGGAGGAAATAAATTATTGTTGTAAGGTCCTTCTACTATAAATTAGTGGTCTAATATTATTTGAAAGTAAGCCGTGTTACTTTGAAGATGGATGTGGTAAACTCTAAAAGCAAGTACTTACAAAGCAAAATAAAAATAAAACTTACATGTTAATCCTTTAATGCAGATAAAATCGATCATTTAAAAAATATCCCATTAATCCATAAAAAGGCAAGAAAGAGAAAAATAAAGGAACAGATGACAGATAGGAAAAATATGAAGCAATTAGCAAAATAATAGATTTAAATTAAACCAAATTGATGATCACATTAAATATATATTGCCTAAACACTAATTAAAGTAAGACATTATCAGATCAGATAAAAAATCAAAACCTAACTATATGGTATCCAGGAGAAATTCTATTATAGATATAAAGAAACTGATAGATTAAAAGAAAAAGAATAGAAAAAATACAAGCTAATACTACTCTAAAGAAAGTTAGAGGGATTATATTAATATCAAAATAGATTTTAGAATAAGAAATATTACTAGGGACAGATGGTTATTCCCAAATGATCAAGTGGTCAATTTATCGAGAGGATATAACAATCCTAAATGTCTATGTAACTCATAAAAGAGTTTCAAAGGACATGAAACAAATCTGCTGGAATTAAAGTAAAAAACAAACATCAAATCCAAAAGGAGAATTGAGAGACAGATCTTTTTTTTTTTTTTTAATTGGTAACTACCAACAGAGTAACATGTCAGCGTTTTTTTGTTGAGATATAGGTTGCATTCTTGCATGATGGAGGTTAATAAACTGTGAGTAGAAAAAAATTCAATGTCATCTCACACTTATCATACACGAGGGTCTGGCCCCACTGGCCTCTTCAGTGTCCTATGTCCCAACCCCCTTTCCAATTGAGGGCCTGCTCTGGTACTAGGCTCTTTGCTGAAACACTTCACCCTTCTTTATCCAGTTAGCTCCTACACATTCCTTGAATCTCAGCTAAACACCCGTTTCTTAGAATTTATTCCTGGTCTTCTATCTTTCATCACAGACACCACGTCCTACCTTTCAGCTTCCTGCATCATATTTTCATCACTGTTTTCATAGCTATTTGGCATATGCACTCTGCTACACTGTAATCTAGAAGAGGGCAAGCACACTTCATATGAGATGATGCAATCTTATTCTTAGAGGCAGCTGGTGTGCTTGCTAATGCATAATAGAAGCCCTCACGTTTTTACTGAATGAATAAATAAATGTTTAAAAGAAAAATATTATGGTTTTCATTTCTATATATAACTAAAGAGATTCCTTTTAAGAAGTCACACTTGATCTGTATTTTATATACATCACCTACTATAATCTAAATTCCATTATATAGCTATCAAGGGACCACAAGGATGAGTGGCTGACAAAAAGAATTTCTGAGGTGCTATAAGAATACACTTCTGAGCTTTTAGCTACTTTATTTAAGAACGTTCTTTTTATCCAATGTTTGTACTGATTTTGCAACAAGAAGGAAAAAGCCTGATTTTTGCTATGGGTTTTACAAAGCTCTAGAGAAAAAAAGTAATATATACATACATACATACATATATATATATATATATATATATATATATACACACACACACACACACACACACATACATATATACATACATATAGTGTTTCACCCAGAAAATGTTTGAATACTGTTTGCAATCCCCTTCTAGAGAATTACTTCCATGTGTGTACAGGGAATTCATTTTGGAGATAAAAGTCTCTCCATCCTTTTGAATGGATGAAAGTCACTTTCATTAACATTGCTGGGGGTTAAATGTACATTTTCAGACAGGAATACAGACTCTGTAATGAATAATATGTATGTGGTTTGCTATGTTCCAGCACTTACATTTTAAGCTCAAAAATTTCAAAAGGCATGAAAGTGGCTAGCAATTTGGAAGAAGCAGAAGACACAGTGAGAATTATGATGACGGGCAGTAAAGCACATGAATAAACCAAAATGATGTAAATGGCTCCTTAGGATTTAGAAGCATAAAAATTGGGGAACAAGAAAAGAGCAAATTAATGAAGAAAGAGAGATGAGTGCAGACTTATGTAAAGAATTACAAATGAAGAACATCAGTAGAAAGAACAAAGTGAGAAAGAAAGATAACATCACAGTAATGTTAACAGGATTGCTTTCTGCAGATTAAAAGGCAAAGACTTGGAGAGAGAGGAAAAACAATGACAAAATTGAATGTCCAGAAACATGGCAACATGAAATAGTAACCAACAAAGCAGTGAAGCAACAATACAATAAGATGATCAAAGGGAAGGGGAAGAGGACACTAATCAGAGCCAACTGAACTATTTCTTCTATGATTAAAGAACAAAATGAATTATAACCAGAGACTGCAGTGGTACCTTAGCATAAAAATGTAAAATTCAAGTCCAGTGATTAAACCTTTCACTCCAGCATTAAGTGAAAGCACTGAAGTGAAATGATTAAAAAGATGTAAATTCGCCTTAGTCTCATTGACTAAGATACTAAGATACTGCTGAGCATGATTTTATTTTGCTAGAACTTCACTATGTAAAGAAATACTCCATTTTTCATTTTACTCTGGCCTAAGAACTTAGAGAAATCTAATGTTTTAAGGAATTTCCTTCTTCGTGTAATGGGCAAGTTTATTATTATTATTATACTTTAAGTTCTGGGATACGTGTGCAGAACATGTGCTATACAGGTATACAAGTGTTATGGTGGTTTGCTGCATCTATCCCCTTGTCATCTACAATAGGTATTTATCCTAATATTAGCCCTCGCCAATCCCCCACCCCTGCTATCTCTCCCCTAGCCTCCCCACCCCCAGCAGGCCCCGGTGTGTGATGCTCCCCTCCCTGTGTCCATGCGTTCTCATTGTTCAACACCCACTTATGAGTGAGAACATATGGTGTTTGGTTTTCTGTTCTTGGATCAGTTTGCTGAGAATGGTTTCCAGCTTTATCCATGTCCCTGCAAAGGACATGAACTCATCCTTTTTTATGGCTGCATAGTACAGGTTTTACTTTATGTTTTAGAAACAAAATAAATGACCATTCTCATAAATGCAAATAAACCCTAAGTCATAAGTGACGACAGTTTTTTTTTGTTTTTGTTTTTTAATTTGAAAGACACTCTTGGAGGATTGACTCCAGTCTAATCTGGTCCTTCGAATTCACCAGCCTTTCCAGGGCTTGTCCTGAATGGAATACCTGCTCACTGGCTTCCTCTAGCATGACTTCTTCTGGCTTTCTCCACTACGTTAAATCCATTGCCACTGACATTTCATGACTTCGAGTATCCCATCTCTCTTCTCCTGTGTCCTTAGAGCGTGTGTAAATTCCTTTATTTCCATTTTAATGAAGCTTCCATGGCAGGATGGGGGAGAGTGATACAGTGTAGATGCCTCCAGTTGCCTTTTCTTGTCAGCAATGCCTACTGTCTCAAAAGGAGGGAGGGACCTGACTTTATCATCACCTGTACTCACACCACCTGATCCATTGCTATATTTTCACCCTTGCATATCAAGAGACTGTCCATGTATGTGACTTTATTCATTGCTAAAGCATTGGTACCTTGAACACAGCAAGGACATTGTCATCCTTCTACACCAGCTGCTCACAGAGCACTAAGTGCATGGACAATGAATCAACACTTAAATGTGACTTAAGGCAGATGTCTGTGGAGGTGGAAAAGCATTTTTTTTTGTGAGAAAAGATGGCATCATTGCTGGGGTTCTCTGTAGTTGGAATCTGCTGTCAGGATTCTGACCTAGAAGTGTGGAGACCAAGGGCCTGCCTTTTCTGGACCTCAGTGTACCCATTTATAAAGCAAGGTATGAGACTGACCTAGAATTCCATACTCAAAGTATCCAAGAAGTAAATGAAGACAATTTTAGATAATGCAAAGTCAAAATTTTTCCCTCTCATGTACTCTTCTTCAAAAAGCAATTAAAAATAAAAGGTTGCAAAGAAAGAAAGAACATATAATATGCAAAAAACAGAGGGTACAACATAGGTGAGAAACAAAAAGAATTTCCAGAATAACTGAAAGATAACAGGATGACAACCCTATAGCAGAAATCAGTCCAGATTGAAGCAGAAAGAAGGCTCCTGGTGAGACATTTCCAAGAAAAAAAAAATAAACATTCAAACATGCTAATGCATCTGAATGTATTAAGAGGAATATTTAGCCTTGTTGGAGAATTTGGGGAATGAATTAGTAACACATGCAGTGAAAACAAAGTAAACAAAGAAGCAAGTGATTATTAATCCTGGGGAAAACACAAAGCTATAATAGAAAGCAAAAAATGTTCATAATATACTATGTGGCTCAGCTGTAGCTAATATTTACATAGTCATAATAATGTAAATCATAAATATTGATCTAACCCAAATGGTAGTATTATGTAGATAAAACACAAGAAGATAAGAGGGCATTCGTAGTCCATAAAATTAAGGTAAATCCATATCTACACTTGAAAGAGTAAGAATTTCAGCATAAAAGATAAAAATGTGGGTTTGAACACTAGGAGAGACAGCTTTAACAGGAAAACAAAGTCCTCCTAGAAAGCCAAGTCTATAAATTAGTGCGTTTCTAGGCATCAGGAAGTCCCTTAGCTGTACCCTCAAAATAAACCTGCATCTGCCTTGCGCTATCTCCTTTGCTGCTTCCCTGGTCCCATCTACCATCATCTCTTCCCAGTGCCCAGTGGGTCTCCCTGCTTCTACCCTGGTCCCTTACACACACACTCATCCATCAGCTCCATCAGTGAGAGTGATCCAGTTAAGACAGCTCAGGCCATCTTCGGCCTCTGCTCTGAGATTTAGAGGGCCCCATTCTCCAGGTAAAAACCTGTCTTCCTACGATCCTCACTGCTCCTTCTCTGATGTCACCTCCTACCCACCCTCCCCAGGGTAACCTACCCTAGCCACACTGTCCTCCTTGCCATCTCCAGACCACCCCTGCAGGCTCCCACGTCTGGGTCTCTGTACCAGCTCTCCCTGCACCTGGGACGCTCTTCTCACGGAAACTCCCTGGCTCCTTCCCTCACCTTTTCCAGTCTTGGCTGTGCCATCTGCCCGTCAGGGATGCTTGCTCTGCCTGCCTGATAAAGGCGCAGCAGCTGCACTGCTGGGCTCCCCCTCCGACCCACGCCTGCACTTGCTTTCCATGCATGCACTCAGCATCTTTAGCGCACTGGATCGTTTACTTATTCGTTATATTTGCTTGGACTGTCTGCCTCTAAATCTATTCTAAAATTTCGGTTCCTAAAAAGTAGATATTTCAGTTGATTTTATTCCCTGATGTATCCCCAATTCCTACAACAGTTCCTAGCATGTAGCAAAGTCTCAACAAATGTTTAATACTACTTGAATACAAGACTGTTGGGCTAAATTCAATTAATTACCAAGAAATAAATCTTAGTGACATATAGCATTTTAAAATTAAGCTTTCACTATAAATGATTTTTTTTTCTTTTGAGATGAAGTTTCACTCCTGATGCTCAGGCTGGAGTGCAATGGTGCAATCTTAGCTCACTGCAACCTCTGCCTCCTGGGTTCAAGCGATTCTCCTGCCTCAGCCTCCTGAGTAGCTGGGATTACAAGCACCCACCATCATGCCTGACTAATTTTTTTGTATTTTTAGTAGAGATGAGGTTTTGCCATGTTGACCAGGCTGGTCTCAAACTTCTGACCTCAGGTGATCCACCCACCGCAGCCTCCAAAAGTGCTGGGATTACAGGCATGAGCCACCATGACTGGCCCACTATAAAGGGTTCTTAATGCTGCCTGTTCATTTGCACAGCATGTTAGCCCTTCCCAAGCATTTTCACTCATCGTTGTCACATTTAATCCTATAAATGTTTATTTTTACAGACTACACTACGTGAGAAGCCAGAGCTCTCGAGAAGAGAAGGAAATTAGTTACCCAAGATTCCATATCATGTGTCAGCAAAGCACTAAGATGCCCGAGTGCGCACCTTCACTTAGTCGTGGTGCATCTACACACAACCGTATTTCAGTCTCCACTGACATGAGTCACTAGCCCCATTTCTGCCAAGAAAATATCACCAAGTGCATTATCAAG